GACGGCGACAATGGACTCAAGCACGGGGCACACGGTGAGGATGACGCACGACAGGGCAGGGTTCCCACCTGCTGTTTGCAGGGTCAGCAGGAGTCGATGCCACAGCACCCATGAACCAGGTGAGGGCAATGGAACAACCTGGGGCGGAAGGTGAGGCTGCTGGGGCAGAGGGAGCAGCGTGAGCAGTGCCTGAAGGCGAGTGGAGAGGAAACGCGGACCCTGTGCGTAGTTTGCTCTGCTTTCACCACAACTATGAACACAGAAACCCTCAATTACCTGGAGAGCATACGCTGAGGGAAGTCAACCACAAAACACAATGGTGTGAAATCACGTACGCAAAGAAAATGCAGCGAGCCCAGAAACTCGGGCTGGTGAGAAAGAGCAAAGAGGAGTAGGGGTGACGTTTAGGAAGCACTTGGTAATTTTCTGCAAATCACACATACAGACACACCCCACTCACAGGAAGCCAACATCCAGGGGTTCCATGATTTGCCAACCCCCCGAAAAGCACCTATGTTATCTGTGCACAAATGCAGCATCTGCTGATGGGAAGGAAGACTGATGACGGATGTTGGCAACGGCTGCACGTGCCTGGTGTCACTGACGGAACCAACGCTGAAATGACATGTTTCACAGATCTGCACCCTAACTGGGGGATATAAGCATCCATTTTCGCGCAGGTACAGGTGCTCACAGCCGTCAAGGTGGCCTGTCCTCCAGCCGCCCTGCAGGACAGAGCAGAACTGTGCCCAGGGTCTCCGGAGCTGACCATCCTGACGGGGGCAGGCTGCCCCATCCTTCTACTGGAGAGCAGGTGGGGGGTTTGGACTTCTGACCTTTTAATTAGCAGCCAGCCTGGTAGCCATGGCATCACCAGGTTGCCTTAAGGACTGGGAAAGCGGATGACCGACAGCCTTGCACCACACGGCATTTCACCGTGCCTTGCTGACAATGGGGGGTTTTAAATTAAGGTCTGTGGCTGTTTCAGTCAAGCTCACCCACTGGCACCACCTTCCAAAGGCACACCCTCCTTCGTAGCTCTGCATCACATCTGATAAAGCGAACACTCTTGCAATCTTTTTCATCACACTGAACCCTTAACAGCCTACAGCACAGAACAAACAGAACTTGATAGGAACCAGGAAACTGGGGGGGGAAAAATTCAGCTGTGGAACCAACCCAAAGCTGACCCTCTGGTGGGTTTTCAGAGGCAGTTAATCGCATGGGAGGAGACTGTCCATCCTTCTCCCATGGAGCTAGTGGTGAATTCAAACTGCGTGCCTTCGGGTGTAGAGTTAGTGAGCTGACAGCTTTCCAATAGAGAAAAAAATATAACTCACTTAAGCGTGGCCAATGCCCAAGGCCAAACCAAAGACCCAAACCCAGCGAGGTCACGTCAATCCCAGAGGACAGTGACCAGGAGGACAGCGACCACGCAGGACAGGCAGACCTGCCGAGGGGGCTCCGAGGCTGCACCTGCAGCAGAGCCAACGGTCATATCCTTCGGTAAGGCCACTGGTGGATTCAAACCGCAGACCTCTGCCTAGCAGCCAAGTTCCTCATCCACTGTGCCACCAGGGCCCCTCAGGAACTACTCTGTGTGAGCCTTTGACTTCTGAGCACACAGACCTTGAGGGTTTGCTAATCACAGTCCCCCATAGCTCCTGTTCCAGTAATAAGAGCAGTGCTCGGAAGGAGCTGAAAGAATGAGAACTCCCCGTTTGGAGCTTTGAGATAATCAGAACTTCCAACGCCTTCTCCCACAAACACCGAGGAGGCAGATATGCTCCTGGGCACGTGCATACACACAGGAAACCATAAGGTACCAACAGCCACGTTAGCCGTGGCCTCTAACATGGGAACGAGAAACAGCTGTTACCTTATACACAATTAAATGGAGCTCTTCGTAAGTGTCCTCTGTGTTGACAAAAATTTTGGGGAACCGGCATTTTGCTTCTGGGTCATTAAGATTCAAAGGTCCAGTCAGAAATCTTAAAAGCAAGCACAGAGATCATGCAATTTAGTCAGGCAGACCAGACACAGGAGTAAGCAGAACATAGTCCTATTTAAGACATCAACTATTTTGTTTTTAAGCTAAACTTCACTTGGAAAAATGCCGTATCAGAACATGATGAATTCACTGCAAACAAGGGAATTCTATATGTGATTTAACAACAAATAAACTAGGCCCACTGATGGGGAGTCACGGGCTTCTGAGGCTGTAGTCTCTATGGGAGGAGAATGCTTCACATTGCTGCTAACGCAGCAGCTGGTGTTCAAACCGCCAACCTTGGGGTCAGCAGCCAAGTGTTTAACCAAGTGCCACCAGAGCCCGCCCTTATCGTTCCTGGCAGCATGAGACCACAAAGGGGATTCAGCGTGTGATTTTACCAGACAGACAACGGCGCCCAGCATTAGACAGACCTACCTCCCGTAGTGCTGAAGGTTTCCTGGCATTTCCGTCCTGACTGGGGAATCTCTGCCCGCCAACTGCCAACAAATTTAATGTTGAGAAATTAGATTTTTACTCTCAAGGCTTTAAAAAAGAGCACTCATAGCTACTAGCTGGTCCTGTGCTCTTTTTCTGTATTTTTCCTCAAGAAAGTGGAGCAGAGATTAGAAGGGTCCATAAAGAGCATACCCAAATAAAACTTAGATAACTTAAACAAAAGAAACTGCCCAGAAAGAAATGAAGGTGAGAGGCCCTTTGCTTTTAATATTTATCAGCAATTTTTCTTACTATTTTAGCAGATGTCATTCAAAATTAAAGAGCCCTGCTGGCCCAGAGGCTGTAACTGCTAACTGAAAGGCTGTCAGTCTGAACCCTCAGCTGCTCCGTAGAGGAAAGGCGTGCCCGCTGCTTCTGTAAAGGTCTACAGCCTCCGGGGCAGTTCCACCCTGTCCTATGGGGTCGCTGACAACTGGCACCGGCTGGATGGCAGTGTTGGTTTTTGGTTCTCTGAAGACAAAACAAAGGTGCAGGTGTATATGCCAGGCCATAATGGTGGGGGTTTCTTTTTTTCTTTTTTTTGTAGTGGGTTACACTGCCAACCCAGTCAGAACTCCAGAGAGATTTTCTGGCGAGAACCCTGGGGTCCTGGGAGACGGGCTGGCACCACAGTGCTTAGCAGAAATTAAAGCTCATGTTTGTGGAGGCAAATACTGTATGATTCACCTTTGCTTCATCAAAGATCCCTGGGAGCCTATCTAAGAACCCAATTTTCTCTCTAGCCCAGTAGCTTATCCTAAAAGCACACCTTTGGTGCAGCATTTGAAGGAAACAAACTGGATCAGAGCTGATGAAAGTGGTTTTCTGAAAATCTGCTGTCAAGCATCTCACCAAAGTGCGAAAGAGCAAGGATGTCAGTTTAAAGACTAAGGTGTGCCTGACCTAAACCACCGTCTTTTCAATTACTTCTTACGCATCTGAAAGTGGGACAATGAATAAGGATAACGGGAGAATGTACGTCTTTGAATTGTGGTGCTGGAGCAGAGGACTGAACGTCCCCATGAACGGCCAACAGAACAAGCAAGTCTGTCCTGAAACAAGTGTAACCAGGGCGCTCCTTGGACATGAGGATGAGGAAGCTTTGTCTCACGTACTGTGGGCATGTTGTCAGGAGGGGCGGTCCCTGGAAAAAGGTCCTGCTTGGAAAGGTGGAGGGTCAGAGGGAGAGAAGACCCTCACGAGAAGAACTGGCCCAGTCCTGTAACAATAGGCTCGAGCCCATCAGAGTCTGTGAGGACGGTGCAGACAGGGTGCAGACCTGTTCACTGTTCACAGGACCACCAAGTTGTAGCTGACTCGATGGCACCTAACAACACCTTACATGAAACAAACATACGCACTGTCGTTGGGTGCTATCAAGTCAATCCTGACACAAAGCTGCCCCGTCTCCAGAACAGAACTGCCCACAGAGGTTTCTAGACAGTGGTTTTGTAAAAATAAGAGGCAAGTCTTCCCTCCTGGGAGCTGCTAGGGGGTTCCAACTGCCAACTCTTTGTTAACAGCCAGTCACTTAACAACGGCATCACCGAGCCCAGCTCATGGCCATCATGCAGACTGACTCACAGCAACCCTGTGGCTAGACCACAGCTGACGTGAGGTTTCCAAGGCTGGAAATCCTCACCGGAGCGACCTCTTCACCCTTCTCTAGAGGAGTGGCCGGTTAGGTTTATCGCACCAGCCCGAACTCACAGTCGCCGAGTCCATTCACAGCTCAAACCCATGGACCCTCCACAGAAACCAGATGGGTCGGTTCCTAATCTCCACCGGGGCAGCTGAAGGAACAGAACTGCTAATCTTTCAGTTAAGGAGATCTGGTTGCTTAGGTGGTAAGGAGCTGTGCTGCCAACCCAAAGGCAGACAGTTTGAACCCAGCAGCTGCTCTACAAAAATAGATGGGCAGTCCTCTCCTGTGTGATTTTTTCACTCTAAAAACCCACTAGAGGGTCAGCTGTGAGTCAGTTCTGCCTCGATGGCACACAGCAGAACCAACACAATCCTTCTCTTAGCAGAACAACATGCAATGGCCCTCTGCCTCCAGGGCGTCGTCAATACCACGCTACATTGTAAATGTAAACCAGAAAAGTTCCACCGACTTCCTTCCCATTTCACACTCCACTCTCCACTCCTGAGACAGACAGACAGACAGACTGACAGACACAGATCTACCTTTTCGTACCCAGTCATACCTCAGGTTCAATGTGTCTGGGAAACAGAGATGTGGTGAGGTATTTGTATAAAATTCTCATGTCATCTTGCTCTAATCCACTCCTGGAACATAAGAAAAGCAGTGTGTTAATCATTTGGAACGCTTTTCTTTCTCCTGGGTTGTGATAAAGATCATCGTTCTGTCAGTAAGTCTTTGCGTAACTCAGAACCAGGTCGGTAACTAGCTCGCAAACCAGGCCGGGTGCTAGTTGCACAGCAACCACTTCCGTTGCGCGTGGGTGTTCTGCCTCCAGCAGGAATCAAATAGATTCGTCTGCTCAAAGACCCTGCTCTGAACGTGCTGCTCTGTCCAGGGTCCTGCCCTGTCCATCCTTCCTCCTGAACATTCTGGGAGCCTGAACTACGGACAGGACTTGGCAAAGCAGCATTCGAAGTGGCATCAGCTACTGTCATCTCCGAGCAGGACACGGCTGCTTGCCTCCTACCCCTCCCTTCTGCTGTGGAATTGGCTCCGACTCACAGCAACGCATCAGATGTCTGAGACTATAAATCTTTATGGGGTTAGATGGCCCATCTCTCTCCCACCAAGCAACTGGTGGATTCAAACCGCTGACCTGGATGGCAGCGTGACACATTACCCACCATGCCACCAGGCTCTCTGTTTGCTTCCTATTCAGGTAGAAAACACCCTGGGCAACAGCCTTGGTTGCTATGCAATGTGTACTGAACTCTTGTGTATGGTGATAACAGCTGAAGTGTTTTGAACAGTCTGTAGCCCTACTGGGAATACATGAAGAGAATGGATTAGACTCGAGTCCTGCCACTAGAATCTTACCCTGATCTGCTAACAGCTACTGTGGTCTTGCCTCTACTTTATACTGTTATGTACCGTCCAGCCGGAACTGACCCTTCAGAGGGTTTTCCAGAGGCTGTAAATCACACAGGAAGAGACTGCCCATCTTTCTTCTGTGGGGAAGCCGGTCGATTTGAACCATATACATTTGGGTCAGCAACGCAACTCTTTAGCACTAGGGCCACCAGAGCTTTCTATGCTGGGTAATTAAAGTCACAACAGATTTTACCCCAGGCAGTATGAGAACTCGGTGCTCACTTGGGCAATCTGCACATCCCTGCACCTAGCACACTGGGAGACGTGGTCTGTGGCCGCAGGGAACTTGATCCTGCTAGCTCTCAAGACGGTAAGTGGATCTGAATTCTCTGGATTTCACTGTCAGCAAAAAGGAGGTGGAGAGAGAATGATGCTTTCAGTAAATCATCTGATGAGAAACAAGGAATGAACAAAGCATGTGGAAAAGGCTCTGAGAACAGCGGGCATCGGACTCAGTAACTCATTGTTTAAGGGCTGATTTCATTTGCTTTATTTTCCTCACAAAATATAGAGAAGATCCTGGAGGAAATATAACTGGACTTAAACCTAATCTTCACACTTTCTTCCAGAATCTCATCGTTTAGAAATTGGGCCTGGCAAGTAAATGCTACTCACTTCTTCGGCCTCCCAATTTCCCACCTTCTCTTCCTAGATTCTTCTCAGAAGTCCTGGTGGTGCCAAGGGTTAAGCATTTGTGCTGCTAACCGAAAGGTGGGAAAACTGGAAGCCACTGGCAGCCCTGAGGGAGATGAGGCAGTCTGCTTCCACAGAGATTTACAGCCTCGGGCACCCGGGGCAGTGGACACCCTGGGGCAGTTCTCCTCCGTCTGTGGGTACACCGTACTGACTTTCTTCTTTCATTATTCAATTTTCTAAATGTCTGGTCCAAATCTCAGCTCTACAGGCCCTTAAGAGGAGCTCTGTTGGCCCAGTCCGCAGCATGCTGTGTAGCTGCAGGGGAGAATGATGAGCTGTCTCTTCGCACTGAGATTTACCACCTGAGAACCCGCTGGAGGATGACACTCCTGCCGCTGAGGATGGGATTACTGGCAGGACTCTAGGGGGGCATACGTGATCAGGGGAGCATGAGGGCTCCACTGTTGGGCAGGGCGCAGCTGTTTGCTTCTTAACGAGACCAAAATACCAGGGGCACAGTTTGCTATGTAACACACACGTGAAGACCTTGCTGCCACTGCCACTCACATGCCCCCCTGAACCGGTTCAAAGTCCAGTTTATCACATCAGTCACCCCGCGTCCCTCCATTCTCACCCCTACCAACGTCAATCAAGCAGTAACGTAGCAGTCAGCCTGCTGCCATGACAAATTCTTACAACAGCATTTCAATCCTCACAGATCTCAAAACATTTAAAAAAAACCCCAAACCCAAACAGAATCCCCTCCTTAGCATAAAAAGAAAAAAACCATGTAACCCCAAAACAAGCAAAGTTGGGCGTGAAGTTGGGACTCCACCACGGCCCCTGGGGAGCAGGAAGCAGCACGCTCTGCCTCTCAAGCACCATTTTTAAAACTTTCTCTTTCACAAAGCCCAAAAGCATTTCTTCCACGTTTCTGCTGAAATCACACTGCCCTTTTCTATGCAGGGGAAGACCCTGCGATTTCTCCAAGACTGACCTTTCTGGCTGTTTGCTGTGTGACTCTGGAGGCCGAGTGGACAGGGGCTGGGTTGGCTCCCAGCTCCCCGTGTCTTGGTGGACCTGGTTTCACGTGCCTCGCAGATGCTGCATGTTTTACAAATGGAAGGCATGTGGCAGCCAGTGCCTAGCAAGTCTACTGGCACCATCGTGCTCGCTTCACGTTTCTGGATCATATTTTGGCAATTGTGGCAATACTGAGTGTTTTCATCACACTGTTACACACTTCAGGCTGCAGTCTACTCTAACCATAACTTCCCTGGTGCACTGGAAAATCAAGAAAATGCACGGATTTGCTTTATTCAGATCCTCACTTTACTAGGGTCTAGAACTAAACCCAAACTCTCTGTGAGGTTTGCTTATACTATCAAAGAAACAGCAGTCTGCACCTCACTGAGGCACATGGCCACCCTGGCTGGTGCAGACGTACGGCGCTTGAATTCAGGAACTCTTAGCAGGAGTGCTGCCACTGCCTGGCCTCAGCGGCGCCTCTCGGTCAGCAGCTCTGACAGGGCGGGAGGGATTCTCTCTCTGTAGGGCCAGCTGCTATCCAGCGGCCACCTCACATCTTACACACACTCAGATGGCTTGCACAGGGGTTCTCCTTGACTGACTAAAAGCATTTGGCAAAATAATAGAACCTGTCAAAGTCAGAACCAGTGTCAAGGGAACCTGTCAGAGACAGAAAACTCAAATACTATGCAAAAAACCGAGACAGCAAAGTGGGAAGGCTGCACCCAGTCCAAGGCGGGAGGCCTTCGAGACCCGGCAAGCACGGCAGCACCAGGGCTCGCTCTCACTGTCTTGCCCATTTTGCTTCTTGGGCATCAATAATTTCTTCAAAGCAACAATGTCTTTGTTTGATAAGCTATTGTAATTAATGTTATAAAACAAAATACATATGAATGATTGAGTGAAATCCAATATGATTTGTAAACTTTGAAATAAAAAAATTTTTAAAAATAAAGTACATCTTTGTTCCTACAACAGTACTCAGACCTAGCTTAGTAATACAAGGCAACCTCCACGTCTATGTAATACTTTTGGTTTCTGGGATATATGATGATTTCTAAATCTTAATTGATGGCTTCTTCTATGGGACCTATTTTAAACTTCAATTTTAATCACTACCACCACCACCTTAATTTTCACGTAAACAATCAAAGTTTTATTTGGACTTTATCTGTAGAGATGCTCTCACCCACATACTTGGTGTGAGTCTGAGAACATGCGACAGACTGGTCTACCACCCCGAGGACTTTCTTCTCTGCACGTCCAGGCCGGCATACCTACCAGATGAGCTGATCGTTGTAGAGAAAGGCAGTGTACTTGACTATACTCAAACTTTCCTCCATTCTGTTAATAAAGGACTGGATTTTCAAATAAGTCATCTTGTCCAAGGGGAAGAAACTGATGCCACCAAAGATGTCCAGTAGGTCACATGATTGCAAATGCAGCGTTTGCAGATACTACAGGGAAAAGATAAGGCATTAAACTTACTAATAACACGATGAAGGTCCAACTCTATGATGACTGAAAACCATCAATCTTATGTTTAGGTTAGTATTTACAGTACAACTACTTGTCAACAAATAGCACCAAGAGATAAAATCAACAAGCAGGTCAGCCTTGGATTTGAAATCAGTACCACTGTCAAAATACAAAGCTCAAAGAAAACTCTCATTGCTGGGTGCTGCCAATTCAATTCTGACTCATAACAAGGTTACGAGGTTTCCAAGGCCCTGGCGGCCAAGTAGCTTCTGTGCTGAGTTGCTAACTGAAAAGCTGGACTTGACCCAATGGCAGTGTGTTGTTTGTTTTAAATCTTTATGGGAACAGAGGTCTGGCCTTTCTCCTACAGAGTGTTGACTGGCTGGTGAACCCGAACTGATAACCTTTTGATTGGCAGCCAAGCACCTAACCATGCTGCCACCACAGGGCCCCCTCAAACATCTACCTCATGTTTCCTCAGCACTGTGTTGCATCTGTTTAAAGCAGGTTTTTTTTAACACTTAATGCTTTTCTAATTAGGCTGACCTGTTTAGGGAATCACACAAACATCATGCCATTTTAAAATAAAATCATGAGAAGACGTGTGGTTAGGACAAAAAGTCCCGACTCCAGTACAAGAACAGATAGGCGAGCAAAGAGGATGAGAACAGGGAACCGGGAGACAGAATGAGAGCAAACAATTAGGGTCGCTAACATGAACACACAACAAATGCTAACATAGAATAAAAAAAACAGTTAACGAATTTTTAATTAATAATAATTAAACACCTAATTTTTACTATGATACTAAAACTGCTTTGTTGTTATGAGCCATCAAGTTGCCTGCAACTCATAGCAACCATATGTACAACAGCTCTGAACCCTGTTCGATCCTAAGCCAACCTTACTGTCTCCAACACACCTACCCCATTACCCCAGTCACTGAGTCAATCCTTCTCATCGAGGGTCTTCCTCTCCTGCACTGTCCCTCCACCCTCCCAAGCATAATGTCTCTCTTTAAGGACTGGTCCCTCCTTACATGTCCAAAGTGTGTGAGATGGAGCTTCAGAATCCTTGCTTCCAAGGAGCAATCTGGTTTCACTCTCTCCTGAACGAGGAGCTTAATCTCTTAGCAGTCTATGGTATATCCAATACTTGAGAATTATTCCTCAAGGATAAACTGAGTTTGATTACAGGCAGATAGGGAACCCTGCCTGGCTAAGCATTCAGCAGCTAACCCAAAAGCTGCCGGTTCAAACTCATTGCCACTCTGTGGGAGAGAGGTGACCTCAGTAAAGCGTACAGCCTGGGAAACCCCACAAAGCAGCTCTCTTCTCAACTCCTAGGATTCTAGGAGCTGAAACTGACTTGATGGCAAAGGACACAATGTGTCCATGGCAAGATCCCCAAATACCAATCACAATGACCTCAAAAGCAAGTGCACCCCACTGCCATCAAGTGGATCCTAACTCCCAGTGACCCTCCTTCAGGGTCGGAGGCTGTAAATGTTGACTGAGAGGCACCCACCTCTCTATTAGTAAATGGCTCAGCATATTACACGTTGTGTCACCAGGGCTCCTCACATCACAGTGAAAAGAGACAGTCATCGATCTCCTGGATCAAATCACACTAAAAATCTCCATAACGTGAAGATGTCTGTCACAGTTGAGAACATCTACTGACTGCAATAACCAAAATCTTTGCTGCACAGTCAGTTCCAACCACAGCAACCCAGAGGACCCGACAGGACCGAGTAGAACCGCCGGAGGGTCCCGTGGCTACCATCCTTTACAAAAGCAGCCTGCCTCACTGTTCACCACAATGCAGCTGAAGAGTTCAAATCATACACCGTTTAGTTTTTCAGTTAGTCGCCAACTCTTAATCACTGTGCCAGCAGGACTTCTTATTTTTCGCTACTCAAAAACTCAAACTCACAGCTGCCCTCTGTCCGATTCCAGGCTGTACCTCTGAACGGGAAGAGCCCATCCTTCTCCCACTCTGGTGGCTCCTGAGAGACGCCACCCACCAGAGGCTCACAGCCCTCTGCTCAGAAGTGCAACACGGCACAGACGGCATCAGCAGAGCTCCTTACATCTGCAGTCAGGACGACTTACACATGAGTAATAAACGGACTCTGGAAAGACAGAGAGGCGATGCACGGACCGGAAGATGAGCCCACAGGGACAGACTCGGGCAGAACAAGGGCGAAGCCGCAGGACGCCTCCCAGCTGACTTCCAGAGCCACATGGCAACAATATGATGCTGGATGGACTGTCCTTACTGGCTGCTTCTGCCAAGGAGCCCCGGTCGTCCAACGACAGAGCACTTGGCTGCTAACCAAATGGCTGGGAGTTCGAACCCACCAGCAACTGTGTGGGATCAAGATTTGGAAGCCCACTCCCATAACGATGACAGTTTCAGGAATCGTACAGGGTGGTCCTAAGAGTCCGAATGGACTCGATGGCTATAGGTTTTGTTCTTACCACAATCTCTTTTTAAGCTTCTTGTTCAACTCTGGGCTTCTGGCATATGAGAATCTGTATTTCTCTTTCTCTCATGATCTCTCTCAACACTACTGAAGTGATAAGTGAAATTCCAAATATTTACCCGGTGGAAGAATTTCTCTAATCTTTCTTTTAGGAGCTTGACACCACCATCTTCCATGGCTTTCCGAAATGTTCCATTGAAAAGCTGACAGGGTAGAGGAGAGAAATGATCATGAGGCCGACCAGGAAGAAGGCAGAAACGCATGCGCAGTATGAGCAACGGAGCACATAAAACAGCCTCATCGCTGCTTCTACTTCTATGTGATCATAGTCTTCTAATTTACTCTGCTTAGTGCCATGAACCTCTATCAGACACACACACACAAAACCCCACTAGTTGCTGTCAAGTTGATCCTAATTGCTGGTGATCATTGTGTGTCAATGGAACTATGCTATATGAGTTTTCCACGGCTGAATTTTAGCAAGTACATTGCCACATCCTCCTTCTATGAAGAGTCCTGAGTCTTCACTCTTCCAATCTAGAAATCTGGTGTGTCTATCATTTGCCCCACCCAGAGACTCTGTGGTAAAGTTATCATAGGTGTCAAAGATGCTGTAAAATATGTCCCTTCCCTACGGCCCTCAAGATCCCAGTAGGTCCTGCTTTTCCTTTTAGGTTAATTCAGCTCATTTAACTCTCCAGTTAATAAATAATATTCCCATAGAAAAAGCCTGAAAGTTATAAAGCTAAATTATTTAAAAGGTTAGCACATTATTAAATGATACTTTCATGAAACTATGTAACTGTTCCAGGAAACTATGTAACTGTTGCAGGTTTGTTTTTTTTTTAATTTTTGTGTGAGTGTACCGTCAAATCAGATCTGACTGGTACTGGAGGAGATTGTCCCTCCTTCCCCGGCAGAGCATCTGGTGGATTCGAACCGTGCGCCTCTGGGATTGTAGTTGCAGCTCCTTGCCACTAGGCCACCAGAGCTCCCCTATGTTGCAGGTATTTTTAAAAAAGAAACCGTCTCAGCTCACATCTAATTATCACTGTGCATAAATAACACAGTCAAACTTTGTAAATGGTGAGAGTACCTTCAGTCTCAGTACAAAGACCCAAAACAGAGGTGACACAACAAGCAGGTGCTGAATCCTGCTGTTAGGAACGTCCACGTTGGCTCCACTGCACAGCAACCCACATCCGAGAAAGAGACCAGACCTTGTGTCATCCCAACAGTGTGTGTTGTGCTTGACCCACTGCTGTAGCCCCCACTTGTCGCCCATCATTTGGAGGTGGCCTTCCTTTTTTCAATGACACTCTACAGGCATACTGTCCTTCTCCATGGACTGCTGAGGGCACACAGAAACCTCAGTACCTGTTTCCTAAGCCCCTTTATTTCTTAAAGCAGATAAGACAGTCACTGTGCAATTAGCAAAGAATAAACAACTTTTTCAAAAAGATGCCTGAGCTTGTAAATTGCTGTTAGGTGACTCTGAGTCAGTTCAACTTCACAGTGATCCCACACACGACAGAACACAACAGCGGCCATCTGTGCCATGCTCACAGTTACTATGTCGGAGCCCGCTGCTGCGGCCACTAGCTCACACACAGGGGCTGCCTTGCAATAGCCGCCCCTCAAAAAGAATGCCACACTTACCTTGTACATGCTGTAGCACTGCTGTAGCACCGAGCTGTAAACTTTGTCCTAGAAAGAAAAAGGTAGTACAGAGCTTAATTAAAAGTAAAAAGAGGGAAAAAAGAATGTCTAGGATACTGCAAAAGCATAGCAACCGTTGGCAAAGCAGGTGTACAAACTTGGTTCTACAATAGCTGTATGCTCAAACAAACCCACTGGTGTTGAACTGACCCCAACTCAGAGGTCCTACAGTCAAAGCAGAACTGTTCAGCAGACCTCCCAGGGCTGCAGTCTGTTCAGAAGCAGATGCCTCATCTTTCTCCCAAGGGACAGCTGTCATGTTGGAACTGCTGACACTTTGGTGAGCATGTTAAATACTACTCTACTAGGGTTCCTTTCATCAGACAAATAGAAAGGTATTTATATGTATGAACTGCTAACCCTCAGCTTAGGACAGCTTCGAACACAGGTGATGAACGGACAGCGCTAGTGCACTGAAGCCCACCCACTGTTGTCGACTTGATTCTGATTCACAAGGACCCTGAAGGACAGAGAAGAGCTGCCCCACAGGGTCCCCAAAGCTGTAAATATTTACAGAAGCCAATGGCCACAACATTCTTCCATGGAGCAGCTGACGGGTTCAAACTGTCAAACTTCTGGCTAGCAGGCCAACATTTATGCCACTCTACCACCAGGGCTAGTGTAATTAAAGAAAAAAAAAATCCTTGCTGTTGGGTCAGAACCAACATACAGCTGATCCCGCAGCAGGTTTCTGAGGCTGTGAACTGCCAGGGAGGAGACGGCCCGTCCTTCTTCGCTGGAACCACTGTGGATTCAAGCTGCCAGGGGGGCCCAGCTTTTGAGTAATCAGCTCAAGTCCCCATGGCTATGTCTCCAGAGTTCCGGATGAGTGCAGGAGAATACTCATATATATGTAAAAGATTATAAAATGCAAACTCTGAATTTGCTATGTATCCTAAGAAACCTCTAGAAACATGATTTAGTTCAACTCAAGTCGCTCAACATGCTCAACAATACATTTTTCCAAAAATATGAACCAAATAGTAATACTTACCAACAACTCTTCTTCCTGATATTCAACAATTGGCTTTCCATCTTTACTTTGCTTTTCGATGATCGGATTCCGAACAACCTACAAAGTTTAAAATACTGAAATTATATGACTGGATTGTGTAATTTTAACATTCCCCTAGCTTAAAAGAGGAAATTCAATGTTACTCCAAGAGAAACAATTTCTTAAAGCAGCCCAAAACTTGGAGAGACCATTGGTCTCTCTCTCTTTTTTTTTTTTTTAATTTTTGTGTGCGTGTACCGTCAAATCAGATCTGACTGGTACAGGAGGAGGTTGTCCCTCCTTCCCCGGCAGAGCATCTGGTGGATTTGAACCGTGAGCCTCTGGGATTGTAGTTGCAGCTCCTTGCCACTAGGCCACCAGAGCTCCCCTGGTCTCTCTCTTACAAACAAAAATAAAAGAGGAAGAGTAGCAAAGAAGCACAAAACAATTAGTCCACAGGTCTCACAGACACCTGAACCTCACTCTCCGAGACCCTGAGACCAGAAGACTACACGGCGCCTGGCCTGACTCAGTTCACAGGAGATGACTGTGACAGAGTGGGAGGGAAACGTGAAGCAAAACTCAAAAACGTACGAGACCAGGGGAACCCCTAACACCCTGCTCCCGTTATTCCTCAAAACATGAACAAAACCCACTCCCTTAACTTAACTTTCAGGTAGACAGAACTATAAAGTGACCAACAATCTGAGGGAAGTGCTCACCTCTTCAGAATAACCAACCAAAGATAAAGAACTAGAAGGCAAGAAGGGGAAGAAGAGAGGCACTAATGGAAATGAGTTTTACGCGGAGGCTCTGAATCCGAAGGGAAGGCCACAGCCTCAGCTTTCTTAACAGCACAGCTGATGAATTTGAACCTTCAGCTTTTCAGTCAGAAGCCGTCACCTAAGCCAGTGTGAGCCAGCAGGGCTCCTCACTCTACTATACAACTTCACAAAACGACGTCAGAAAGATGAACTGTATGGGTACATACCATAACCATCCAGAAATTTTCCTCAGGTTCATTGAAGAACTGTCTGTTTTTCTGGGTGTGTAAGGATTTTGCCGGTTTTGAAGGACTAAATGTTCTAAGAAGTAAAAAAGAATATATTTGGGGCCATGCTCCAGGATTAATGTTAAGCATCTACTGAAGGACAGCAAAGTACATTTAAAGGCATTACCTGGTAAATTGTACAATAGCTTCACATAATCCAACGTTTCTAATTTTTTCATTCTTTTCTACTTCATTTGGATGATAAAACAAAATTTTATTTTCCTCCTAAAGTTTGAAGACACAGAGGCACAGTGTGAATATAAGCACTTTAACCATCAAAAACACAAAGTTAAATGTCAGCCTCTCATTGTACAGCTCTCTCTCATCTCCATCTAGTTGGCACTGTTGTTGTTGTGTACTATCGAGTCGGAACCAACCCACAGATGACTCTCCAGCGGATTTTCAGAGGCAGTTAATCACACAGGAGGAGTCTGCCCATCCTTCTCC